CTCCAGCTAAACCATGACTCTAAAACCGTGATACAAACCGAACCGTGAGTAAGTTGAACCGTTCCACCCCTAATCTATCTATCTATCTATCTATCTATCTGTCCGTCCGTCCGTCTGTCTATCTAGATGAAAACAATATATTGATTATATTTATGTTATTTAATAATTTAACATTTTATTATTATATACATTTATGTTGCATGTATAATTCAACAAATGGCATCCAGTTATAATCTCAGAAATAAAATCATTATTTTGCGTTCACATTTTCCATCACAGTGGAAATGTTGAATGAGGTCATGTTGTGTGCATTGCATTGTGTCATGCATTATTCAACACTGTGCATTCTGCTTGTATACTATATTCATGCAACATAGAGAGTGTGTTAGATCATCTATAACAGTATGAACATGCTCACTGTCTTGATCATGTCTTGCAGTGCAGGTGAGCGCAGCAGACCAGAGGCTGCGAGTGTTCGACTCCACCCAGCGGAGGTGGAAACACGTTTGCTCATCCAGCACCAACCAGCTCATCGCCAACATCAGCTGTGAGGAGATGGGCTTCGTCAGGTAACAAACACACAACACGTACCAGGCTCACAGCTAACTGTGAGAAATTTAGTCAAGCCGGTTTAAATTAATGAGTGAAATTTATAATTGTTTCAGTCACGTATTTGTGTTTTCCTCTCTATACAGAGCAGTGAATTTCTCAGTGACGTGTGCTCCTGACAATAGTGGTGACAAAGATTTTTTCTGCGTGAAAGAGAGTGAGTTAACATATGGGAAGAAGATAAAAACAGCCCTCTATCCTTGGTAAGACAAAGCCGTTTCATGCGAATAAAACTAAATGTATGCAGCATTGACATCACCAAACTGAAATGAAAAAAATCAACTTTGAAACCCCCATCAGCCATTGTTTTAATATAACGAAATATTTGTGATTAATATTTTGCTTGCATAAAATGTATTCCATCAGAATACACAACTAATTGTAAATGGCCATCAAGGCCATCAGAATATTATATATGATTTCTTAAGGATCATGTGACACTGAAGACTGGAGTAATGGTTGCTTAAAATTCAGTTTTGCCATCACAAAAATGAATTACATTTTAAAATATATTAAAATAGAATTTAATTTGTAATAATTAGGGGTGCTCCGATCAGGATTTTTGAGGCCGATCACCAATCGCCGATCACAGAAAGCAGTATCTGCCGATCCGATCACCGATACCGATCTTTTTAAAGCCTTCTTTTTATCATGTAGAATTATTTGATGATCCAATCAAGATTTTTAGACATTTATTCAGGGCCTGACTTTCATTTTTGAAAATTAATTCTTCTCTTAGGTGACTCTTGTGAGAGGATTTTTTTTTGGGATTTAAAGGGGTGGAGGGGGGCATTTTTTAGACATTTTTTAATTATTGCCTTGTTTATCTAAAAGTGCTCTTTTCCTTTAAACCTAGCCAAAAAGCCATATCCTACGTAATGACTGTGAAACACAGTAGTCTTTAATTATATGAACGATCTCTGCACTGCTGCAGACGCACCGCTCCTAAACGCACTGCCAGACCGCAACCGTGTGTGCAGTGTGAACTCTTTAATCCGTTAACATGAGTGTGTAACCTCTCACGTGACGGCAGGCACGTCATCAGCTTGAGATCGGTTTTATGAGATCGGCCTTTTTAGAGTCTGCCGATCAATCATCCCAAAGCGATTATCGGCCGATTGTGATCAGTAGGATCGCTGAGGTGAAGACGGTTGTCTACCACAGCAGCTACCTGCCCTTCGTCGACGCCAACATTGATGACAACAGTCGTGACATAGCAGTCCTGGCACTGACAAAACCTCTGCAGTTCACTGGCAAGTTTTTACATTTAGTTACATTGAGTTTTACATTGAGTTTTACAGAATTCATTGGCCAAAATCCAGCTCTGTATAGATGCATATTAAACTAGGGTGACCATGTCCTTTTCCCCGGACACGTCCTGGCCAGGATTTCTATATTGCCTAAAATATCCAGGTTTTGGCTTTG